GCCAAGCCACTCATGTGCCAAGTAAACTACTTTTTCATGTAGATTACTCGGAGGTTCACGGGGTGATTGGACATCAGACAGAAATGTTGGATTTTAGACAAGGCAACCTGCTGGATAGCCTCCAATTTCATCAACAGCAGTGGTGATGCGCCATCTGTCAGAACTCCAGAATGATATCATCATCTTGGTGTTTCCACTCAACTGCTAGGTTTTAGATTTACGTCCAAAATTCATGAGCCAAACACACATTCACTGCTGCTGCCTGAAAATAAGATATACACTATTCTACATGAATCAATATGCTATTTATTAATGGACGGTTTGCTGAGTGACGGAGATTAGGTTATGTTGTAGATCAGTGGTTCTCAACCTGGGAGAACCTTGACGGAGTTCTAGGGGGTCCCCAGAAATTTTAATTTCACTATTATTTAACTATAAGTTAGTCCAATGCCAGAATGTATAAGAATGACTATTCTGTTCATAGGTTTAACTAAATCACTAAATATTATTAGACAGGGATCCCCAAGACTACTATTTATCAAATACGGGTCCACGGACTGATCACTTAGGGGGTCCTTGACCGCGAAAAGGTTGATAATCACTCTTGTAGACCACAATTAAATAGTTAAGTGTGTCTCACAAAAAAGTGTACATGTTATAAAAACCTTATAAAAAGCCTCAAGTAGGACTGCCATTAACAAATATTTTTTTTTATTATCTATAAATCTACTGATTATTTAGTCATTTTGGTCTCTATAGAACATCAGAACAACAATCATAATAATAATAAAATGTCTATTGCAATACAGTGTCCTAAAGCCAAGGGTGGCCTTTTACAACTGGGAACCAGAAATGAGGGAGTGTATTTATGGTTGAAAAATGACAAATTGAACAATTGTTCTATTGTCAAAAAATCTGCAGATTATTTTTTGTTTAAGAACTTGACTAATCATTTCAGCTCTAATATGAAGCATAATACCATGGCAATGAACAAATGTGCACGCAAAACCATGTCTTATCTGTATTAAGTGCAGTTACAGCTCGAATATGATGGGTAACCTGAAAGTAGCTCATGTACCATCAAGCTATTGATTACATTTGGCAATAATGCAATGAAATACATTTGTAAAATAATCCTATAATAAAAACTTCAAGTATCAATCAAATAATCAATTTTCTAAGAATAGCTTCCTAACAGTGAGTTATTCTAATAATTCAAGTAGTAAAGCAGTGTTGTTCATCGCACTACTGGGTGGGCTGAGACCCCTCTTTTATCAGATAGGATATTCGTAGCATTGAACGAGTGAATACGAATGCAATTTATCATCCAGTCCCTTGTGAATTACAAAATATATTGGGTTAAATAAGAGTTACATAAGGCCAACACAGTAAAAAACACACACACACACTCACTCACACACAGCCTTGTCAGATGACTGGGTGTTAGTGCTGCTCTATAGCCCATGTATGTGTGCGTTTGTGTGTGTATTATGAGAAAATAGAACAGCTGTAGCCGAGCTGCATTACTCCACACTGGATTCCTCTGACCCAGTTATGTAGAGCAGAACCGATTGCTGGACTTTTCTGCAAGGAATTGTTGCATGTTCTCTCATGACACACAGACTGTGTGCTCAAGTGTGTGAGTTGTTTCAACCTTCTGTTATTCGGAGGTAAATTATTGGTGAGTGATGCATTAATCTGTAACTGTGTCCTCTGAAGCGCAGACCACTGAAACCAGCAGAATGATCCGAATGAGGTGGACACAACTGAGCAGAAGCACACACTTTCATTCCATGCATCTTAAGATGGCAGCACAGTAAAGTAAAGTAAAAGTATTAAAGACAAACTTGATAATAATAAGCATAATGTTGGGTATCAGTTTGGCCATCCTTGTATGATAATCACTACCAAAGTTGACATCCTAAGCTTTATTAACTAAATTACATCAGTGCATACATCTTATTAAGTCTTGAAATTGTAAAAACCTCAAAGCTGCAGATGAACTAAAGTTTATTTAAGATTACTGTGAATGTGTGAAAAAGCAATGGTCATGTTTGTGTGTTTTTCCATCTACATTTTTTAACAAATTCCCCCTAAAACAGATTTACTTTAGGGATTATTCTCAAGAGTGAAAATCACCAGGGGGAAAAGGGGAAAACCAAGGAGCAAGAAAAAGGACTGAACCTCCCTGTCCTCTGGGTATGACACACACACACACACACACACACACACACACACACACACACACTCTCTCTCTATCCCTTTCTCTCTCACACACACATGCAGTAATATGCATCTAACTTACCCACTCCACCAGTTTAACGAAGCCCAGAGGCTCCTTCAGCGGCGACAAGTTCAGCCGAAATCCGGTCATCATGATTGTGCTTCTGAGCCAAAATCTTTATCCAGTTGTTCCTAAACTGTGGATGTTGGGTCCAACAGGGAGGAAAAAGGGGAGTTGTCTGACAGAGTGACGTGGTTTTACTGCCAACGCTGCAAAAAATGAGCCTGCCCAAGTTGTTTAAAGTGAGTTTTATAATCCAACTTTGGGCAAAAGGACCTGAATCTTCTTTCTGCCCGGCAGGTGAGATCGTTCTACTAAGTAAAAATACTGTTTAAAAGCTTTCAGCAACAAATGTGAATGGAGAAATCATGAGTTAAAGGTGGGTATTTTTTGCAGTGTAGTTTGAAAAACTAGCGCTCCACTTGGTGATGCGCAAAATACGCAGGCGACGTCGCGGATAAAGAGCGTAAAAGTGTGCCAAATAACGCTTCGCTTGAGGTGATAAGGCGTCATGCGTGTTTAGTTACAGGAAAAGGATGCTGGGTGAAAAGGCGTATCTTATAGCTTTCCAAACTGCTGCGAGAGAGTTTTGGTTTTTTCCTCAACTGGGCTGGCTAAAAAAAACTCAAACTCCCAAACGACAATATTAGAAAAGACCACAAAGATAATTTTAAATACATGCAGTTACATATAAGCGACGAGTTACCCCCAGCAGATCCAGGCACAGTAACACCCAGAGACTTCCACACAAGTACCAAAAGACATCCAAAGCGTCCTACGCGGTTTTCATTGGATCCATCCGCTGGAGTACGCAAGCTGCCTCCTCCTTGCTGAGTCTGCAGTTACTCTGCAACGCCTCTTTGGTGCTGACTGGGGTCATATGACTCCCAGAGAAAAACCACAGATTCTCAAAATTCTTTCAACAGAGAAAGAAAAAAAAAAAAGAAAAAGAAAAAACACAACCTCTGAGAGCAACTGATCTGACCCCAGGTTAAATTAGTAAAGGGTCATTTCACAAGATGACTTCTTGATGAGGGTCCCTACAATGTCTGACATGAGACTATCTGAACAGCTGGTGCTCTCTGGTGGACACCTTGTAACGGAGGCACTGCTTTTAAATCTCTCTGGCAATTCTGTCCTGACTCATCTTGTTACTCATAATAAAATGACATCCACCGATATCTGCGATAAGTTAATGTTAGCTGATATACCGGCCAGGTCGATATCGATCAAGCTCTTATCAGAAACCTGTAAAAACTGTTGCATAATGTCTCCTGTAGCTCTGGAGTTCATTAAAGGCTCAAAATTAACCCTGATGACATCATCTGGGTTATCGACTTGGGGCTGGAGACATTTTAACACAAAGCTTGCATTAGCTTGGAAAGATGTTTATCAGGCAGGAAAGGGTCAAATAAAAGATGCCATTTAGTTGCATTGTGGGAAAGTATTTTTGGAGCTGGACTTCAGTGTGTAGGATGTAGTGGCATCTATAAGCGGTGGATCGATCTTCCAAACACGTAGGAGAAACTACGATGGCCGTGAAACTTGTGAAAAATCTTAGGCTCATTCTAAGCTAATGAAAACACAACTATTCTTATTTTCAGTTGATTATACACTAATAAAAACATACCTATGAATATTATATATATATAGATATAATTTCTGCCAATAGATCCTCCTTCATGTTACACACTGGATCTTTCTCGAAGCCCCTTTTACTGCAGTGAAACACAAAGAGCCTATTTACAGCTACATGTTACTGTCTAATACTTACCTAACATGTTGTGGTGAGACTGAGCGGAGATTTAGTCCTCAAAAAACAACAAAGCTGACTTAGTGAGAAGGGAAAAATGTTTGCTCTCTGTCAATGTAGAAAGTCCAGGATGTCTCACAACAAAAAGCGTACCAACACCAAGCAGACATAGAAATTCTGTTGGTTGTCTGTATGCAGCTCTGCAACATAGAAACATGTTACAAAGCAACATAGATAGAGAAGTGTGTGTTTTTGTTGTCTTTAAAGTACACCAACCTCAATAGACTGAAGTGATACTTAATCTATATATATATATCTAACACTTTCTTCTACAGATTCATCATTTCTGAATAATTTACAAGAAGGTTCCTGGAAAGAATGGAATTTGGTACGAATAATAGGACAAATAGCAGCAGGGTTAAATTAGTACACTTCCAATTTATTCATTTCAATTAAATCTAATACTAATAGGAGTTTTTAACTGGTTATGAAACAGTCTCAATTTAATACTGATGTCTCCATATGACCCGCATAAACAAACAAGACCATCAGCGAGTTCCTTATTTCTGCTTTAACTGCTAACTTAATCTGGAGTCTCTAAATCAGTTCACAACTGGTCAGCTGTACAAGCAAACATGTGAACAGACCAGCAAACAAATCAACAAATATGAAAAATAAATCTTCCAATAATCCATTAAAACTGATTACATTAAAAACTAATATTTTCTTGAGTTTTACTGGAACAGATCTCTATTTTTCCTACATTTTGCCAAATTTTTGAGGAAATTTCCTGGGAATTATTAGGAAATTACAGGCCCATAAAATAAAGTGTTACCTAAATGCCATTTTTGTACACGTGTAGTTTTTGTTTTAAATTTTTTTTAAAAAGGACTCCCAGAGAGATAAATATTAGTAGCTGATGAAGATCCATCCTATACAAAAGCAGGCGAAATAAATCAACCATTTCAAACTGACAGGGTGGCATCTTTAATCAATGTATTGTTGACAATATAGCAAGTTATGTTTGTTAAAATATCAGTTGTGTTGGGAGAGATTTTTGGGACAACCAACATATACATACGAGTAAAACAACAACAACATAACAGGAAAAAAAAGTATTCACAAACAGTTTTTTTTCATCCATTACACAAGAGGCATTCAAGACCACACACACACACACACACACACACACACACACACACACACACACACACACACACACACACACACACACACACACACACACACACACACACACACAGAAGCTAAAAGCTTGACAGTCACAAAAAAACAGTCACACTGCCAATTCAGTCAAGCCGTTTTGGATATTCTTCTGTTGGTACAAAAAAACGGTTGTTCTGACAAAAATAATAATATTACTATTATCTAATGTGGTCGTCTCTCTATCCCGCTCTCGCTGCGTTCAGTCAAGATAGTTGTTGTATGTACAAGTGAGAAGGCAGTATGGCCGCATCGTTTGTAAATAAGGTTATTTACTGCAATATTTCTGGCATTTTTTTCTCCTTTGTCATACAAAATAATATTTCTCTGAGGTAAGAACTGAGACAGTATCAAAATAGTAAAATCAAAGTTTTACTAAAATGCACCCCATAATTGGAAAAATAAAAATAACTGTGTCGTTACTCCAGAACAATTGGATAACAAATTATTTTGACAGGTAACGATATTGACAGGTGCAAAAACAGAAGGAAAATAAAGAAACTAGTGTGACATTGTTTCAGCATGTGACGAGCTATGTTGTTTCCCAGCTTTTGTCTGTGTTTGAGCAGGTTGGTCTGAGCCAGGAGGGGGAGGGTGGGAGTCAGTGACATCACAGGTTTCTTCAAGGTCTTCAAAAAAAAAATCTCAGAAAACTATCAGGGTCGGCGTCCGTGGGGAAAGGGAATAAGGTCAATGAAGCTCTAATAGCTCCGGTGAAGCGGCTCAGTGGCAAACATTTAGCAGGCTGTGGTAGCAGTGGGCAGCTCCCAGGAGAGTGTGTGTGTGTGTGTTTGTGTGTGTGTGTGTGTGTGTGTGTGTGTGTGTGTGTGTGAAGTACTGAGTGTAAAATGGCTGAAAGTTAGTGTGCAGGGAGAGAATAAACTATTACCCGGACAGTTTAAAGCCATGGTAGCAGTTCTGTGAAGCTGTACCTTGAGCTAAATGCCAATGTTGGCATGCCAACAGGCTCACAGTGACAATGCTAACGTGCTGATGTTTCGCAGGTGTAATAATAATCACGTTCACCATCTTAGTTTAGCGTGTTAGCTTGCTAACATTTGCTAAAACACACACACAACAATACAGATGAGGCTGATGGGAATCAGTTTTTCAGGTATTTAGTCATGAACCAAAGTATTTGACATAAAAATTTAAACCTGATGATCGCTTTAGATTAAAAGTTATATAACTTTTGGGGAACATGGATGTTTGTGCAACATATCACTGCAATTATTCCGACAGATATTTCAGCACCAAAGTGCCGGACTGACATTGCCATTCCTAGAACCAAATGGCTAAAAATAATTTGTTAATAGCTGAGTTTTTATTTTGCCAAATTGCCAAAAAGTCGAGGCAAAATGGCGCCTGCTGTACAGCCTGAACGTTTCCACCCAAAAAAAATAGTTTCCTGTGACGTCACCAGCTCCTAGCTCCTCTTTAAAGCCTCCTAGCTCGACGACAGAAAAAAATCCTTTCACTCTGAAAGGGCCGACTCAGCAATGTGACTAAACGCACCTGCACACAGTGGAGTGAAATTCCTTTGAGATGCTCTGAATGGGAAGGATAATTAACTCCATAAGACAGTATCAGCAAGATCCCATTCATACCTGGGCAATGAGTCCAAACAAAGAGTACCGCATGCACTTTACCCAGAATCACCGCTGCTGAAGTTTCCCTGCTTTTAAGGAGTTAAGGCAGTGATACCCGAGACCACCACCGACTGCCAAAGCATGGCCGGTACATGTGCTGTCAGTAAAGTTATTTCTGATCCCGATCTGCCTCTTAGTTGCTTTCTACATTGCCAAAAGGAAAAAAACAAAAACACACTCACTACCTGTATAAGTCCCTGTTGGTCACAAAGCTGCGCCCTCCTTTCAGAATAAAAGGCCGACAAAGTAAAAAGGAAGAGTGTCCTCTATTCCCCCTATCGACGAGCACGTTTGCATAAAGGAATACTACGCAATCCTTTAGAGGAAGAAACATCAGTACACACACTCCCCTCGCACACAAACACACAACCACTCGCACACACGGATCCAAGCACACACATCAACATTTAACATACATTTCTGTCCAGGAGCCACATATGTAATCTTTCATAAACACATAATTAGATCATCTTCATTCCAGTGAAGACAATTTTCTGTGATGTAGTTTTCTTCTTACATCAACTCTTGGTCTTGTACAGTAAAGACTGGATTAAAGAGCATTCACCATCATGAAGACCCAATCTGAAACTTTTGACTCAAATCCAATATTGTCAACTTAGCCATAGGAAGATTTGGGACTTCTTCAGGACACGGAACACTTAAATCACTGATAGAAAATGAGCTTGACATAATGCTGTCATTCATTATATATATATATATATATATATATATATATATATATATATATTTGAAATTCAAAAAAAATTAAAAAAACAACATTTAAACGCCACTTTGAGGTCCTCCCTCCTTGAACAGAATTGTGGAATTGTGTCTTCATGATATGAACGCTCTGTGGACAACATAATGGCAAGCAGATGATCACTTATATACCTTCAGAGATGCACCAATAACATTTTATTTGGCGGAGTAAAGAGTACAAAATATTCAGGTAGTACTTGATACATGGCCTTTTATAATTTAGGCCATAACTACTGATTAAAAGCATCGCCCATAATTACAGTATTCATGATCTCCAAGTAGAAGCAACATATTAGCTGTTGTCGGTCAATGTTATCGGTGCACCGTTATATACCATAACCATCATTTTCTTCCTTCACGTAAAAGACAAAGCTAAGTAGATTCAGACATGTATTTTTTTTTTCTCTAAACACGATACACAGGGGGGTCATTGGTGTGGGTGTGGCTTTATATTTCTCTGTCTCTTTCTGACATCGGCTTTCTCGCCGCGACTCACCGTGGCATTCACTCCGCATGCAGCCGCCGGGAGCTCATTCAAAAGCCTACAATCGTCTGATTTGCTTTTTGTGTCTGCATGGAAAAGTCTGCAGACACACAGCCTATCAGCGGCCAATCACATTCTTACGTTGCAATGTGTCTGGCTTATCAGTGCAATGTGCTGAAGTCCAATCAGGGGGCAGCAGCAGCATGGAAGTGAACGCACGTTTTGTCATCGTAATCGCGACTTCTCTCTCTGTTGTTCCTGTCTTACTAAACTGCTCGGTCATTCTCTCTCTCTCTCTCTCTCTCTTTTTTTCCCCCTTACACTCATGGGGTGTTCGCTGTTCATCAGAGGTGTGGGAGTTTCCAAATTCTCTACTCCAACTGGAGAGCCAAAAACTGAATGTGAATTTCCATTAATTTTAAGGGAGTTCTCAGGTTTTTAGGAACGTTTCGGGAGGGGGGGGTTTCAGGCTTTAGGGGTGGGATCTATTAGCAGTGCACGCTACCTCCGTTTTCTGAGGCGACGCTGGAGGCAAAAGGTGAAGGGTTAAAGGGGGGGAAGGGGTTGTTTTGGGGGTTAGGGTGGAGGGTGGGGGGGGTTCAGTAGTGCTGCGCTCAGTGCAGCAGCTCTTCAAGCTCACTCTCTTTGAGCTTAGCATTGTCTCTGACTTCATCAAATGTGTACGTCTTCACAATCTTCCCGTTCTGAAAGACTGTGTGCAGCAGGTCCTGGAGACGATTAGAAAAACAACACGGAGAGAGAGGGTAAAATTAAAAGAAACGGGAGTACAGAGGAACAGGTGACAAGGGATGGAAGGAGGGGCAGAGGAAAACAGAAAATGAAGGTGAGAGAGGAGGCATGGTCAGTGTTGGTAAAACTAATTGCTTGGCATTTATCTGTACAAGAGTGTCTGTGTGCTATTATGTGCTTTAAACTCACCACGCCATACTCCTCCAGGTCGCCCTTGCCCTCCTCCAGGGTGACAAAGTCTCCGCTCTGTGTCCGGTGCAGAGACAGGCGACCTTTCTTTGACCTCTTGTTGGGGTCAGCCACTGGGTCCTTGAACACGTTCACCTTTTCGCACAGAAAAACAATGTTGCATTTAAGCGGAACGGATTTTTCAAAATCATGGTCTATAACACAAACTGCTGCGCAGACAAAAAAAAAGTACTGTACTGTTCTGTACTTGTTCATCTATGGTCAACAGTTTAACAGTTAAAGGACGTCTAAAACCTCAACCCCCCATGAGTTGCTACATTACCCACAATCTAAACGCTCTTTAATTAGTCTTATTTAAACACCAGACTATTACAAAAATGATCACAGAAACTCCATTCAAATAGCAGGTACTCACCCCGAGTCCATTAGTGACCACGTAGCTGCATTTGAAAGAGCAATTGAGCAGATCTCTGGTCAGTTTCTGGAGCAGAGCCCCTCCGGACCCAAAGGAAATGTTCTCAATGGACCATCTGTGTTGCTTCATGCCCTCCACTATCTGTGGAAAAACACACACAGTTAAAAACGATGCAATAGTACAACATTCTGTCATTTCTGATGCACGTAATGTACAATGAAAATCTTTTACCGTCTTATACATCACATCATCAATAAATAGCACGTGTCCGTACCTCTTGCAGTGTGTTGATGTCAACTCCGTCTCCTTGTATGACTCTGATGTAAGGAGGGAGAACCTTATAACCTTTAGAGTTCTCCAATGGAATAAACTTCTTACCCAGGATCTCTAAAACCTGAGGACAGGAAGAGGAAGGTGGTACAGAGAGAGTTAGTGTCCTGGCTTGTTTTAAGATCCTAGTTGAAAGGAAAGCTGTACACGTGACCACACCTTCAAAACCGTATCAAGAGGGTTTCCTGAGTCCGGCCGAACAACCAGCGGAGCATCTGCGCTGCGCTTCTCTATCAGGCCCCGAAGGTCTTCTCCCCAGATCTTCTCACAGGCGTTGTAGATGTCGTAGCTGTCGCTGACAATGGATACGGGCACGTTGGGAAACTGTTTGATGATGTGCTCGAAGGCGTCTTTTTCATGGTCCTTTCCCCACGCTGTGATGGTACTGCAGAGAGAACGACAAAGAAATTATTATTTTGTCCTACAACAATTTCTCTTCCCATGTAGTTGATCAAAGCAATAACACAACATGGACAACTTCTGTGCAAGACACAAGGCGGGGGAAAGTACAACAAAATAAGAAATTTCAAAAAAGAGGTGGACAGATTTAAAGTAAGCCAAAAAGTAGCAGGAACTTCACATTAGTTATCTGTTTGGCTAAAAGAGTAGATAAGAGAATAGCCATTTATCAAAAGATAATGCCACAGATCGTCCAGAAGGGGGCAGCGCACTCCAGGTTTTAGTCTTGAATGAAAGCAACCCTAGGCCAAATTGCATTTTTTTTAATGTTAAAACAGGTCTGTTGAAGCCACCTTAAAAAGCAGATTGTAGACCGTTGTGACTACCTTTCTCTGCTCTGTAATTTGTTGATGGTTAGAAGGAAGATGGTCACGATAACTGTGGTATCACGTCAATGAATGGGGTAAAAATGCAAATCCCACATACAGGTGCACCGTAAGCTGGAAAGGGGTTTAATCTTTTTTGGCATCAAAATATTGTGCCTGTTTATTAATGTTAGACCTGCAGCGGGTGATTGTGCTGTGTGATGAAATTAGTTTGGCTTCTGAACATTTGCATTTGAGTTGCTGCAGGCGGCTGCAGACTCCAGGCTCAGTGTCACAGTAGATTACAAATATAGCTGTTCATATACCAAGTCTGCTACACATAGCATTGTTTAAGATGATGATCTTGCTTTTTGTTGTCTGATTAGCTCTGGGCACTGTGTCTTTCTCTCCCCTGACCAGTCACATTAGCACTCTCTGTGTTAAACAACCAAGTTCACCCAAATAAGGACATCTTCTTTCCAGTTTTCCCCCGGTCAAATCTGGCCCTGAAGACAGTGTGAATTTTATGTCCTGGGGTTAAGAGATTAAATAAGATTCCACCACCACAATACAACAAAAGGTATCTAGAATTTGGTTTCTGATTTCTTTAGAGCAACTATCAAAGAATTGTGAAACCTGTTCAGTGTACACAGACATGGCATATGTTTCAATATTATTACTACACAAATTGTACTGCGTTACAGAGCTGAACTGACAATACTATAAACTGTTTTTTTTTTAATTTTAATACAAGTTCCTGTACACATTTTTGGAAAAGTATTATTTTTCTTTCAAAGTGTAAACATTGGAGGACACTCAAAGTGTTAGATGGAAAAGCTCTGAAGGTGACACACCTCTGCTCTAAAACATCCACCCATCCCTTTCCTGCAAAATCAAAGTGGAATTTCACTGTGACTCCTCCCTCTGACGAGGGGGCCATTACATAACGGTTACTATGACAACTACTGCCACCATCCCACAATGCACTGGTGCGGGGAAGAAGGGTGCGCTGGAGCAGGAATAACTGCCCTGGTGGCAAGGAAGAAGTGACTCCATGTGCATGAGAGCGAAACATAAAGAGAGAGAGAGTGAGTGAGTGAGTGAGTGAGTGAGTAGTGTGTGTGTGTGTGTGTGAGAGAGAGCAGGATAAATGGATCGGTGCCATAAAGCAACACCAGAGACATGTGAGGGACATGTGCGTCAGGGAAGCAGCAGCCAATCAAAACCTTCATCTCTAAGCCAATCACAGACCCATTTACAAACTGACATAGATGAACCAGATAATTAGTGTGAGGGTGACCAAGCTCTAATCAGGAAAGTGAATTAACACCAACCTGAGCCAAATGATGAGTACATTTTTCACTTTGGCTGATAAATTCCCCTCCATCAACAGCTTTGGCAGATAACCAACTTGTTATTTGAAACAAGTTTTCTATTTTGAAAATCAATTTGGCTTGTGGGTGAAAAAGTCTGCTTCCAGGCCTGGCTCTCAGCCCGAACGTGGACTATCTCACCAGAGGCAGCACCGGAGATGAATAGAGCCGGGATGTGCCAACTGTGCCCCTGTGCTTTCAGGGAATATGTGAATACGTGGCTTATGCTGATAATTAACATTGTGCACAGGAATTTATCAGCCTTCAGGGGCTAAATACAATGCTCGAAACTCTCTGCTATCCTCGCACATCCCATTAAAAAAGCTGTGTTGAACATGTTGGCAGACACATATCCTAACGTAGAGGTCTTCTATTACTGGTGTAATAATTTAAGTGGGTGGTGAACTACTGCCTCACATCACAATGGAAACGGTGCCACTAAGCCCACTGGAAAAGCCAGGAAACACTCTACAGCAAAGAAATGTAGGCCACACAGAGAGATATCCTGTCTCTAAGCAGGGACAAAGCTTCAATATACAACAGCAAATGTGTGTCTACCTGTGCTCTGCAGCAGGCACTGAGAAGCCTGGCACAGGGTCCTTGGTGCCGTAGTACTTCTTAATGACTCCGATGCCGGCGACCGTGTCTGTGCCCTTGAAGTTAACCAGATGGGCGGAGGCCCCAATGCCTGCAGTCTGCAAAGAGGAGGGAAATGGTTTATGGGAGATAAAAGGGCAAACACACATAATACATAAACATAAAGTAAATCTTAAATTCATTTTTTTTGTCTTTCACCTTTTTTTTTCTGCATTTCTTTCATTGTGTGTAGGTTAGGAGGTTCTATTGGCAGAAACTGAATATAATATTCTTAGATATGTTTTCATTAGGGTATAATCTCCTGAAAATAAGAACTGTTGTGTTTTCGTTACCTTAGAATGAGCTGTTTTTATCTACAGGGAGGGAGCGGCTCCTCTTCCACGGAGGCTGCCATATTGACCGCAATGCTAACAGGCAAACCACACTCTGGCTCTAGATAGGGCCTTTCGTGCTTTTTGCAGCCACCGTAGTTCTCCTACACGCTTGGAACGGGAGCGTGAGGTGAGGGTGCTGCAATCAGTGAATACACCGATAGATACCACTAACTTAATCCTACCTGCCTGATAAATTAGACTGAGCATGGTTTGTTTCACACAACATTCAAATTCCAATTTACAGGCCACTTTCTAGTATTTTCCACAGCTTTAATCCGTAACAAACCGTGTGATACGGTTGAAATCTCCGGGGAAATCACCCTTGAGTTGGGATTATTTTGTCAAACTACTATTTAAATGTATTTTTTTTGTTTTCAGTGTATTTGTTAATTTGCACACACAACATGTATGTGGTGTATGGGTAAGGATACAACTTTAACAAAATCTACTTCATTGTGCATAGTTTATTATAGAAGTATAGGAAAGTATACAGTACCTCTTGTGAGGAGACGCCCCTGTAGCCAAAGTCATGCAGTTTATACTCTAGTCGCTCCAAGTTCCCAGAAGTCTCCAGGAGGTACTTGGCGAGGATCTTCTTCTGCTCTCTGGAGTTGGTCGCCACAGTGATAGGGTACCAGATCTGAACCAGAATGGTCTGATGGAGGGAGGAAGAACAGTTCAGTTCAGTCCAGTTCACTGGATATTTATACACACACAACATTTCACTGCAAAAGTTCACTAAAAATATCTCTCAGCTCTTCAGAAAACCCCAGTGTTTTCAAAGCAAAGCTTCAGCACAAGTTTTTTTCTGCAGAGAACAGACCAGTGAATGTCTTTGTCCAACCATCCCGCTTTCCCAGTATTCAACTGGTACTAAAACCCCAAACTAACAGGCTCAGGGGAATTATTCACACAAGACAAACTCTGGGAAAAATACATCCCTCAATCCCTCATGTCAACTCAGTTGCACAGAGTCACACATTTCAATATGAAAACAAGTGGCTTATCTGTACTCACCACCACCTGGGAAAGTTTATGAATACACACTTTCTATTATCATATATGCACGGTGTGTGTGTGTGTGTGTGTGTGTGTGTTAAGGTCTGCCTGCCTGTCTATGCTTCTGTATATAAATCCAGCCAATCTAGGCAAATACATACAGTGACTTCATATTAAACTATTATTATAATATATTATTTTATTTAAAATTCTAACCATTAAATCCGCACACCATTCACTTCCATTCCTAGATAGAGAAATCAATCTAATATGGTGACCACTGGGTTATACAACAGCATGAAGCTGATATTATTATGTAATTACGCACTGTGTTAGAACATTTCACCACTCATATGAAGCTGTGTGTATATAATCGGAATGACAGCTAAGTACATGTGCGTCAAACCTCATGAGCAGCAGATAAAGCGAGCAAAAACCACGCCGTACAGCCATCTTCCCTCCCTTCACAGTTGTTTGAGAGATTCTTAAGAGACAAACCTCATCTGTGTGAACTTCCAGTTCTGATTCGTCAATCAACTGTGCCTACTAATACTATGCGGCATGTCTTTTTCACCCTATAAACCTCAGCACAGAGTCACATGCCTCCTCAGACTAATCATAATCTAAACCATAATACGGTCTCATGTGACTGCAAGAGCAGGGTTAATGCACACACACACACACACACACACACACACACACACACACACACACACACACACACACACACACACACACACACACACACACACACACACACACACACACACACACACACACACACACACACAGGTCATGTGCCCGCTGCTTTATCTGCATCTTGACCTTTTCATGTGAAATCAGTATGTAACATTTAACATGAAATATAACAGTGTAACGCGATTGAATGTAGATAAACGCTCTCAAAGTTGCGCGGCAACTGTAACTTGCTCGACTCCTTTTTTTCCCCAGAGGTCTGTTTACTTTTCATGACCTGAAACTATAAAAAGATCTAATTGTGCATTTGTGTTTTAATCAAATATTGTCTCAGAATTAAGACGATGGTGACATTTATACAAGTCAAATAAACCATGCCATCACCGTGTGACAGTTTGTCAGGGATAATGTCTTTAATGGGGGCAGCAGTACCGTAAGAACAACACTCTGGAGGAATGTTTGCACACACATCCACTTAAGCGCATACAAACACACACAAACACACACACACACACACACACACACACACACACACACACACACACACACAAACACACACACAAACACACACGTGCCAACATAAATTCTTGGTCAGTGTCCCAGAACAAAATGGAGGGAGATAAGGAATGAAAGAAGGGAGTGGGAATAAGGAAGGTATGGGGGCAACTGAGAGCTAAAAGAGCGAGAAAGATGTCAAAGACTGTGACGTGACAAAGAGAAGAAAATGATAGACAGTCAAAAAAGAAGGGACAGCAAGAGTGAAGGAGAGACAGAGAACAAACTCAAGGACACCAGGGTGAACGCTATAGCTAATTTTACATCTGCCATGACGAATGACTCTATGTGTGTGTGTGTGTGTGTGTGTGTGTTCATGCCTGTATTTATATCAGCCATAGAGCGTGAGTGTGTGTATGTGGGTGTGGTGTATCCAAATTTATCTGGACAGTGTGTGTGTGTGTGTGTGTTGTGACTGTGCTCTTGGGCTGTGGGTGACCTATGTCCAAGCACACACAGAATGCTGTTTCTGTCATCAGAGTCTAGTGTATGTGCACCAAATCATAGAGCCACTTCTAGTCAGCATTTAGGAAATATTGGCTTTGCAATATCCACTAAGATACTTCAGTAAAACAAAACAAAACAAAAAAAAACTACACAATCAAAGAAACATTTGTAATTACTTAAAAATGTATCTGCAAGACTTTAACAAATGGTCCTTTGTACAGAATGTCAAACGCTTTTGTTTTTGCATTATTAAACAGAAACAAAGAAAGCGCGTTGTTTCTGTTTAATCACATTCTGAGAAGCCACGGCATGATTAATCTGTGGATGAAGTCAAACATGATACTTGTGAATGGGGGCCGACATGAAGAATGAGACAGCATGAGTCAAAAGAGGGCCATAGAGAAAGGGAGACACAGAGTGAAGATATTGCTCGTGGTAAATGAATTTAGTTCTGCCCAGTCACTGCAGACAGTCTGTTCATGCAGCATTAAGTTCATGAGATCATCTCATGGAGGAATCACACTGTGCATTAGCTTCAGTGTAATAAATGCAGCAATGAGGAGGCTGCATGAAACACCACGCCTGCTTCAATTCACAAAAGATCTATTTTACCTATGTATGTATGTATGTATATCAGTTATGTTATGTTATGTGTGCTTATATACACTGATATCACCTAGTTACTTTACCAAAAGAACAGAGTACTTTGGTGGGTAAAGGAATAGTTTTGGAAATGTTTTGAGCTTATTTGTTTTCTTTCTTAGGGTTACATAAGAAGATTGATTCCACTTTTTGTGTCATTACTGGGTCATTACTGGGTCAACCAGTGGAGGGTATGAGCAAATTTCCAAAAACGTTGACCTACACTTTAAGAAACCATTCATCCAGACAGACAAACAGTTTGTATTTTGGTGTTTGTGTCAGGAACATCACAACGGGAGTACAACTGCAGTCATGTTATTAACTATAACAGAGCAGCTACTGTATGTATAAAAAAACAAGGGGCAGTAAGTAAATTAAAATGCAAAGTGAATAAAGCTGACAAACATTCTTGACACTGTTCAGAATCATTTCGGAGATGTGAGGCTTCGGACAGAAAACTGTTCAGGACAAGGATTTAGACTTTATTTTGTCAACTACAAAAACACCAAACAAGGACTTTTCTAGCGCCCGACTCTCCGCTCCTGTACTTTCCAGCCAACTTGTATGAATGACTTTGCTGCAGTTATAGCGCATCTCTGAGCAGCGATTAAGCTGGAAGCCATGACACGACTGTAATTCAGTGAGATTTAAGGAGAGATAAGAGGTGCCGTTGGGCGCGCTGCCGAGCTAAATAGTTTATGGCTTTTATAAAACTGTTAACTCTCCTTTATCATTAAAAGGGCATAAATGTTGCTAATGTATTTCGTCTTTAATCAATAACCAAATAGAAGATGATGATTAAATCTTACTGATGTGCCTAGCGATGTAGTTTTTGTAGTAACACGAGAAACGCGAAACATTTAAGCTGTTATATGAGGGCGCAGGGGTGAGATGTTTTAAATGGCTTGACGGAGCTAATCCAGAGTTAAAGTCTGATAGCATTCAAGAGGTATTGCAGTGATTTAGTACTTCCATAAAGTTGGGTGACCCACAAAAGACAGATATGCATATTTTTGTGTGGGTCCAGCTCCAAAAACACTGAATCCTACATTAACCACAATCTTACCGACAGCATCTTTTAGTTAAGACTGTCCCTTCCTGACGTGCTCTAATTTAACAATACACTTCTCTGATGTCAGGACCCACAGGATTCGACCTGCTATCCATTCTGGGCACAGAGGACAAAGAAAACAAACTTACCTCCACCCAGTTGGTGAGCCAGTAGCATTCAGGGTCTGTGCTCTCCACTGTGAACAAAACATTGCCTCGAGGAATGACGCTCCCCTCTGGCACTGCCTTGATTTCAATAGGCAGGTGTCCGTTGTATTTCTGTAAACACAGACACACACACACACACACACACATACACACACTCAGAATCAGATTTACACTGTGAAAGTTTCCTCTCCGTGGCATTTTTTTCCCTTCTTTTTATTGAGATGACCTGAAAAAGGAGATGAAAGTGGCACACATTTGGAGGCAATACAGTTTCTGGTGAGATTTGACCTTCAGGCAATATGGTGAGATTATACTAAATATATCCATATTTTGAGTTGCATCTCACACACAAAAAAATTTTAAAATCAAAGTTCTCGTTATACATACCACTACCAAAAGCGAGCAACATTTGTATGCTTGAAATAGAGTGATTTGCAAAAAAAACCACAAAGCTGCCAGATTGAGAGCTGATTAAGCAACGTGGTAAGAGATGACAAAGAGAAAATAAATAAGGATTTATCAACACTTCTGCTCGCTCGAGAAAATACTTTGTCAGTACAGAGAGTGCTGTGCTCTGTCCAAGGTGCTGAAACAGAACCGTTCAATAACCAGAAACATTTGATGCACATTTTCTTGGATATATAAACTGACTGTGATTGATTTCTAGTTGCTGAATCGGACTTGCAGCTCATGAAACTGGCTAGTTAAGCCCTTCTTGACTTCCTATGGGAAACTGTGACACCAAATATGGTTCAGATTTTTTGTTATTTTAGCATGAAGGTCTTTCGTTACACAACATGGCCCCGCTTGCCACGTCAGAATGGGACCCTTACGACAGGGAGTTCGCCTCAAAATTAACCTAGAAACAAATTAAATCAGATTGCATGTCGCTATATGTTCGGTTTGTGTGTTTATCAGGAACTCACTATGTGTCCTACGTGTGTACGTCCTCTAGCCTCTCTTGATATTAGAGACATCACCTTCAGAATGTTTCATGTGCAAACATTAGCATATACTGGCACCTGTGTACGTGTACACCTGCAGCTCCAATTTCCAGCTTTTTCCTCAAACCCATTCCTTTCATATAGTCTCCATAACCCCCCCACTGAATCTACTCACAAAGATGCATAAAATAGTTTTGTACAAATGCAAAGCATCACCTTTTAGCAGTGTCTTACCTCCAAAATGTAAGTCCACCCTTTCTCGTTGAAAACGTCATCCTGGAAGTGTTCTCTGTATACCTCCTTTGCCTCCTGGATCTTCTCTGGAGTCACTACCTTTCCTGGAGAGGAGAAAAAAGGAGGAAGAGGAGGAGGAGGAGGAGGAGGAGGAGAGGGAAGAAGGGGAAGGGAGAAGAAAGCAGAAAGCACAAGCAGGTAATGAAAGAGATGTTGTAGTAACACACAGCAATAAGGAGAAGGCACTGGAATGCCACCCTACTGTCCACTGTCGTAATGAAATTAGAAGCGTCCCGTGCGTGCTGACAAGGGCTCTTTGTCCAAAAACCACTTCCTCATCTAATGTCAAGTTTAAGACCATAGAAACTGTAGCAGCAGCAACACGAAAAGATGTGTACAAATGCAAGAGCGTACCTACATATTTCAAAACCTAAAATGAATAGTTTATGAAATGGCAAGCTGCTTTTTTTTTTTTAGAGAGTTAGATGAGATGATTGAAAGCACTCTCCTGTCTGTACAGTAAGTATGAGGCTACTACCAGCAGCCAGTTAGCGTGGCTTGGCACAAAGACTGGTGGTAACAGTTAGCCCGGCTCAACCAGTACCTCTACAGCATTTTTTCCTTTTGGTAGTACAGTGACTCCCTGGTGTCTCCGCTGGTTGTCTGGCATCCTTAAAGTGACAACTCCAGGAAGTAAAAATATATAAAAGTTTTTTTGGCCGACTTAAATAAACAAGTTAATTAGAGAACTTTATTGGTGCTGGTAGGTGGTTCTACCTTTTGGACTGAGCCAGGCTAACAGTTTCCCTCGAATGAAAGTCTATCGAGTTAAAACTCCTAATAGTGAGATTGTTCCTTTAATACCTAATATGGTGGGTGACACTTTCACTTTTACAGTGGTTCTTTCTGCTGAACCACTCCCTTGAGAAAAGTTGGAGAGGATTAAAATTCCCTCTGTGACTCAGTCTAGAAGAATCACGGTGCACACGTTTGGTTTCGTAAGTTGGGAGGATCAGGGGTGCATCTCCAATAGTTGGCCTAATCATTGAGCGCTGAGGGACGCTCTGCGCAGACAGCTGGCCTTTCTCCCGCAGACGGTGAAACAGCAGCTGTGCTTTTGTCTTCCCTCTCTCTGTTCTACCCGGTTCTCTGTCTCCCCCGCACCTCTGCTACCGCACCATGAAATCCTCTTAAGAGACAGGAGTGAGATGCATTCTTTCTTTCTTTCGACTCCTTTTTTTTCCTGTCCCTCTTGCTCTCTCTCATGCCCCTCAGGATCCCACTAACAAACTTAAACATCCACCTTTACAAACTTGAGCTAATTAGAGCATAGAATACATTGTGAGCATTATACTTTGCCTCGTTTCAGTCTTTTCTCCCTCACTTTTTTGTTCTTCTTAACCTGCCGGCTTTCTGTTATGCTCTGTACAGTCTAATCAACGTGAAGCACATTGTAACCTTGTTGCTTTTTGAGTAAAAAGGACTGTTGCTGCGGGCCACAACAGCAAGCACCTGCCCTGCTGAAGTGTCCTTGAGCAATGCACTGAATCTTGAGTAGCTGCATGCTGTTCTGCGGCTGACCCTGTACTACTGTGACCTTGTCCTGGAAGGGGGGTGAGAGATAAAATGCTCCCACAGGGACCAATAACGCATCACAAAAGGCTTTTGGTATGTGCCCTGATTGCAAACTGGACAACAGTAGAATAGTGTATTGTTCAGCTCCCACAGAATGAGAGTGAAAACGTTACGTGCACAGTTGACTTCCATAAATGAAAGTAGAAATAAGTCTATGCCTCGGTTATGTAATCCAAGTATTGGAATGTTGTGCTTTAATTTGTTGAGTTGACTGGAAACACATTCGTATTTACACAAACAAACCTGGAGAATCATTAACAGAGGTGGTGGCTTCATAAGGCCAAACCTGAAAAGCTGCAATGTCATTACTGCTGGCAGTCACTGAGAAGCTCCTACTGGGTTAGAGGAGGGCACTTCAGTGTCGTGCTAAAGGGCACTTTCATTCAATTGACAACAGAACACAAAACATTGGCCCTTTTAAGCAGGCTAATTCCAAACTGAGTCGGGACTTACCTTTTAGGTATTTGTAGAGGATGTACTGTAGGCCGTAGAAGACGGTTTTGTCATATTTGACTTTTCTGTTTTTGCCAGGATCTGTCCTCTTCTCGCGGCACTCGAAGTAGGAGTACACTTTACTTGTGTTGGGGGGGTATTGTTTGTAATGTGTTACCTGTAGAGACAGAGCACACATCGAGGAGATGAGACAAAATTAGCATGGCCATTTGTAATAAATAAGCAGAGTTAGAATAATACTAATAAATCATTAATACATTACATAACTTTGAGCACCATGGCTAATGAGAAAATGCAATCCTCGTCGTATTAAAGGAAACAAGCTCTCTACTTTCACCATGAGCCTCATTTGCTGGTCTGGGGACTTGTTGGGCATGTTTCGCAACCGAAAAATGACGTGAACCCAACGCACCCACAGTGTAACCGGAATCACTCCTGTCTTGAACACCCACCTCCCAACACACACATGCATGTGAGCCAGGTCTACTTCCTGAATAGGGTTTCGAAGAGATTCATAAGAAGTGTCACAATGATTCATGTAAAACACTGAATAGTCCCGAATTTCAGAGGAAATGAAAAACAACCCCTCTCTGTTGAAACACCTTCAAGATCATGTAGCAAGTCTTGTTTTAATATGGCGAAATAACATGGAGAAATGTTACGTGCAAATTTAGTCTGCACCACATCTAATCAAACATTTAGCTTTAGTTAGATATTGGAGAACTTTCTGGAATGAAAGGGCAACAATAAAACAGATGAAATCACATTTTCATGGCTGAAAACGAAGGTAGCTGACTGCCAACAGGCACAGTCCACAGAGCTAAATCAAGGTCACAACCCAAAGTTTAAGGAACACTGCCATTGTGGTATTTTATCTGTGATGGTAGCAAACATTGCAGTTCAACAAAAAAAAACCTCAATCAGTCTATTGTGTTTAAATCAAATAATACAGCACTAAAATGTCACAATCTTGGCGAGGAATGCTTTTCCGCACAAATACACATTCTCTATCATTCCACCACTCTGTTATTATTCAGAAAATACTACTTTCAGTGTGCTTCTAGTGATCTTCTAATCAACTGTCAACTGACTGATACTGGACACATTGACAGTTACAATCAAGACTGCAATGAAGTAAACAGTCTGAGACATGTTCGGGCATGTTCCAGGAGGAATAAACCGGCACAATAAACTTAAAGATAAACACACACACCACACACACACACACACACACACACACACACACACACACACACACACACACACACACACACACACACAAAAGGAAAAGATAGCGTTGGCTGCAGCCACCTGGCCATCAATTAAATCTCAAGTGAGTCCTGGGATTTCCATAGATGATGGTAATTTACTTTCAGACCGGTCTGCTTTAAATACCCAAACAAGTGTAGCTGAAAACATTTAATGGCAATGCATTTGCAACCATGGGAGTCCAGAGGTGTTAAAGGTTCAATCTGAGGTAAAATACTTCAAGTCTTTCAGTTGCCTTCAGGGAATGCTACTGTGGATCACGTCTAAAAAAATAATTAAGAACAAGGCTTTTCCCATTAAAAAAAAAAGCTAAATATAGGTCACAGTCTGTCATTCAACTACAACCGTGAGAAACACTTCATTTCTCACCACTGTAAAATCATAAAAGGTTACATTGGAACCACAGGTGTAATTACCCGTGAGAAAAGGCTTGGTCACAATCTAAAAAAAACCAGGGATTATTATGTGTGAAAGGAGGAACAACTCTTCCTTCCTTCCTTGTGAGGGAGAGAACAGATAAATGTCAATGAACTACTCAGTTTCTTTGACCCCTGTCTCTGTCCTTTCCTCTGGGCTTTCGAGGACTCAAAATAGAGTCAAGATACACAACATGACACTGGGCCTGACCACGTGTGTGTACACATTCGCTGGCGCACATGCCGATGTATACACACAAACACTGTGTTCATATATCAAAAACAGAATCGGTTTAATTTGCAAAGGCCTGCGTGGACCATCAAGTAATAAAAGTAAGAACCTATATTTGATTAGAAATCATACAGCATGTAGTGTTAATGATATGGGAAGCCTGGTAGGTCAGCATACTTTAATGTGTGAGATCCTCCCAGTGTCCAATATGAACACACAATAGCTAATGTAGAGCAGCCATTTAAAGCTGCTGCTTATTTTACAGTAACAATGGGTAAAAGACCTATGTGTAATCTGAAAGGAGTTGGTTTCAGTGACTAACCCACAGGGAATTATCTGCAGTTCCCCTCGGCTCACTGGTGCATTTTTGCCTCTTTTAGCTCATTGTTCTGATTTTCCGACCCGCTACTTCACTGTTTTGGTTCGATCTCAGTCATATTTCTATTGAAAATAGATCCGAAAGATCCTCTAACCTGCCCACGGGGCTCGAAATGTGTCCAGCAACTGTCCCTGCCTCTACAACCACTGTCTCAAATTAAAGTCCTTTTTTCCATTCTACACAATCAATATAGTTTGATAACTTTGTTTCAGTAACTTACATCACTTCACTGACTCACTCTGGTCTGCCATGGAAGTTGATCAATAAATGCATCACTGCAAACTTTAAATATTAACCTGTTTTGGATGGTGATGGACATTAACATACACACACTTTGATTATTATTATTTAGCCAAATAATCACAGACTCACTACAGGGACATCATATATTTAAAGAAAAAAAACATGACATAGGGAGGGAGAAGATGACACCAACTATTTAAATATTTACACGCTCAAATGAACTATGTACATATAAGCTATGGGAACACCCTAATCCAGAGATCCGGAGAGAAAGAGAGAGAAGGTCAAACATGCCCCACACACTGTACCTATTGACTGCTGGCGCAAGAGCAGAGGACGAGACCCCGGCGATGTTGGCAGAAGAGCCGTGGAATATGCACGGGAATAGGCTTTTACAATAGTTGATCAATCGATAGGGTGATTTGGGTTGTAAACTGTAAGAGGCATTTTTCAGATTTATCTGGTATTTTATGGACAAAACAATTAGTTGAGAAAATAATAATTTGTCAGGCCAAGACAATGTGAACTTTTGCCTAGAAGCTGACTCAACAGATTAAAGTTCATCTCTCATCTGTTTTTCACTTTAATATTAACCCGAACATGAGACAGTGGTGGAAGCACTTGTGTGAAGAATAAAATGCTTGGACACAAAAAAATCCAAATCTTGCCATCAGACAGGACGTTTGTCAGGTGCTGTGTATCTTTCCAACCAGCACAACATCTGAGGCATGCAGCAGCTGTTACTGCAGTATAATGCTTAATGGGACCGTCCTATTACCTAAATGTCACAGGTTCAGCCCTCACTGGAGCCGTTCTGCTCTGGGAAAATGCCCCCCCACAAAATCCTAGACTCCTACCTACTTACTGACTGTAATTCTCTCTGGATTTAAGGGTCAGAAAATGTGGTCATATGCCTGGAAAAACTGTGTGTTGTGGTATTGCTTTGAAGAAATGTGAATGAACAATGACAATCTGTACACCTCCACCCTTTAGTATGTTCAAATCTGACAGACACTTCACACTGACAATAAACTTGTGCATGTGTGTGTTTCCAGACAATAGGCATGCTTGGCTTTGGGGCTGAGCTTCTTTTCTTTTCAATGCAAGCATACAAAGCACAAAAGGCATTCAGGTGCAGCTTGTTTTCATGTCCTGTGAACACAGCGTATGCCTCTGGTTGGTCTGCGAGTCAGTCGAGTGCTTTGCTTGCAATACCTCTTCGTCTTTACAAAGGTTATTACACAGTCATGCACAGACAACATCCCACCATGCAAGCCGCTTTCAATGAAACAATGTACACCCAAGCACACTGTAAACACAGATGTTGTGAGATTTGTGAATTGAGTATACTATAAAAGAGCTCAGATCTGATCCAAAGTGAAAGGCTGGTTGGCTTACTGTTAAGTTTATTCTTTGTGTAGCTCAACTGGCTGTTTAAAGAGACAATAATGGTAACTTTAGGATTGTATGGCAACACAGGCACAACTCTCCTGGCAAAGACATTAACATGAAATTCGATCAGTGTCAGGCCAAATGTTTTGTCTTTGCCGCCATTCCGTTGACCTTTGCTGCTTCTCGAGTCTGTAGCTATCTCGACATGATAACAAATGCACAGCTATGTTCTGCTTTAGATTGGACACACTCAGACCTTGTAGCTACCAAGAGCAAATGCTGCTTTCTTCTGTTTGCCACTGAGCAGCTCATAAAAGAGAAATCTGAGAGAAGTGCCTTTCTTGAGGCACTATGAAAGTCATTATCGAGGGATAAAGAAAGAAATACTTGATCTCCCTTACTTGTATAAAGGGAAAATAATACCAGTCATATGTTTTGTTTAATTCTGTTTTAATAAATTAGTTTTTGTATTGATTGTGACTGGCCCTTCACACTGTGAAAAGCAGAACAGAAAAATACAAAGGTTTGAAAACCCTTAAAGTTTTGCACAATCTGTTATGGCACAATGATCTTACTGTCTTAATGTCAAAATGTGTTTTATCACAAAAGAGTAAGAAGAAAATTCATGCTGCTCAGTGCTTGTATTTAAGTTACAGTCAGGCATATATCATTAATCACAATGTAGCTGCTTTTCACAGTAAAAGTATGGTATTTACTTTAAAGAGGCCACTGCAATTGTTAAGTGCCATTCAATGAGATACTTGCATCTGATTAGTTATATTTAACAGAGGTTAAAGGTTCATTTACATCTATATTTTTCGGCATAGTGATCACCTCCTTAGGCTACAGAGATAGTACCTAATAATTGGGAACACCATAATTACAACTATTGGAAAGTAACAGCAGCTATGTCACTTACGTTAGAAATATTCACATCTGACACAGACTTTTTATTTTTTTAATCAAGCCTAGGACACCATCGGAAGGAAGGAAGGACTTACAGAAGAACAGTTAAGTCCCATTTCCTGAACCACTTACCCCTAGGAAGACTAAACAGCAGTGTTATTACAAATAATGATATACACACACAATATTGACTGTTTCAATACTTTGTGCAGAGCCTGAAACGTACATTATGAACTAATCTTTAATAAATGTCTTTCCACAATGGAAACAAACTATAAATAAATCTGAGTAAACGTGAAAATGAAACCAAAACTACAGGAGTCATTTCCAAGGAATCAAAAACAAAACTGCAGCCGCACCTTGGAAACTAAATAAACCATATCCTGAGATTGTGATCCAGGATATTAAACAATAAAACTAGAATTACCATGCCAATCAGAACATTAAATAAGGAGCTACATCAAAAAATAAAACATTTTGACTCTGTGAGATTTTAGGGGAAAGCTACAGCAATGTTCTCAGCATGAGCAGCTCCACTATATGATAAAGCACCTGTCTTACAAGCTCACGTGAAAAGGCCTTCGACCCGAAAGCTCACACACCTAGGACCCGGCTGAGAACGTGTACATTAGTAGACATGGGTTTATTAAAATATACTTGTACGACACTCTACATAAGCATTACTCTATACCTATGACAAACCAGTTTGGAGTTTTGTAATAAAACCCATTATTAGTACTTTTAGTACATTTACTGAACTTAAAAATTAGGATGGCTGGAAGCACACCCTCTGTTTCCACTAATAGTTTTTTCCTATATTACTGTGAGGAGGCGTCAACGATTACAATGCTTTTATAATTAAGCTTATGGTTGGTTAATAAATGCAAATGTTTTAAATGGAGCTTTATATCGACTGTCACCATCCCAGCACACATATTCACTCTTGCCCCAAAATACAAACCTATATATGTATATTTCATTATTTTACAACATCAGAACACATTTAAAATACCTTTTTATTTGAATGTATGCAGTTGTTATGAGACTTCACTCAATTTCTCCTTGGTTTTTTTTTTGCCTCTCTGGTCCCATCACCACAACCACTGAATGCGGTCACATGACTGATGTACATGGCAACTGACCTGGCAACCGTCCCGGTAACCACTTGCTACGTGCGGTAATAACGTTACATCCCGCAAGTGCATTTTGTTCTCCGGTTAGTTAGCAACCGGTTACATTTCCTACCACAGTCAGCTGTTAAATGCCCTTTTAAAGACCTCCAGCTTGATGATTACGTGCCGGACTGTGAACTCAGATAACCTGCGGTGAGGAACAGGAGGTAAACACCTCTTTTGTCTTTTTAACTTTCAGTTTTGATTTCTCGAAAGTGACGCATTGCCACTGTACGGTGGCTAGCTCCACGCCGGCTAACATTAAGCATTGCTGGGCTCTTGAATGAGACTTTGCTCATGTGCCTTTCACCGGGCTATCCACACAGCACTCGCTGGCTAGCTGCTAATATTAGCTTCTTCTTGTTTTTTTTTTGTTTTTTGTAATATATATAAATCTCCCTCTGTCTGCCTGCTGCGCTCCCTGTGAGCTAGCTGGCTAATTCAGCTAGCTGGTTACCATTGTGACTAGCAAAGCCGGCGGGGCTCTGGCTCCCGAATAGATATTAGAAATATAAAGTTAGCTTCAAGAGGGATGCCTGCTTTCTGAATTTAGCTCCGGCGTCGGTGCTGTACCAGCCTTCTCCTCCTCTTCCTGCTGCCCACTCGGCCTGCTGTGAACCGACGGAGACCGGCCACAGAGAGCACTGAGATGGCCTTGGGACTGATGATGAAACCACCTTGACTTTATCAATTTTCATCCATCAGCCGCTCCCCCTCCACCCAGCCTCCCTCCCTGCCTCCCTCCCTGCCTCCCTCCGTGTGAAACCACCACGGTTACCGTACCTTGTATGAGTCCGTCGCTAGCATTATGTTGAAGTCCATGTCTCTGTGCTCCATCTTTTCCCCCTTGGTTGTGAGTCAGTCGCAGCTGTCAGTGTGTTGTGTTGCGCGCCGTGCTGCCGGGGACTCCAGCCTGGTGTAGTGTAGCTGTGCAGGGGGGAAGGACGAGCGGAGAGAACCGGGCGGGGGAAGGGGCGGGCGGACTGTCGTCACCAAGGTTCGGGTGTCCCTCGGCTTTCTTCGGCAGTACTCGGCCAACCCGATTCAACCAAAGATTATCTATACTGAGGAAGATGAACCACTCAACAACGAAGGCGGGACATCATTTCTTCCGGTCCTGAAGAAACTGTACACTTAAATTATTAACTCTTAATTAAAGGCTTGGCTAGTACCTTATTAAAAAAAGCAAGTATTTGTATTTTTTATTACAAAAGAATATCTTTTTTTTGTGAATTTTCTTAATCCTTATGGAGTATAATATTTTATACTTAATGAGTTTGTCAAAATTCTGAGGTTTTCTGTTTAAATATTTACTACTATGTACTTTGTAAATAAACTATGTACTTAAAATAAAGTAAATACACTGAATACACCAGATGAAGATGTTTTATAATTGAATATCTATGCACTTGTAACCTGTAACACAATAATGACTTTTATAAAAGTAAAAGTATATGGGGACCGGACAACCTTAGGAAATTATTATTAGATTCCTTTTTGAAACATTATTTGGTAAGAATTTGATTGTGTGTGTGTGTGTGTGTGTGTGTGTGTGTGTGTGGGGGGGGATTTTGTGGGAAAACACAAACGAAGAGAGGTAGCTAATAAACCAACTTAAATCGTTTGGGAGGCTTTGTTTAAAAACGCTATTGCACCATTGAATAGGACATTTCCAGTCACATTTATAACAATGTTCAGCCTGTTTATAAGACTGTGAGAAAGTAAGAGTGGGTGCTCTTTGCTTTAATGTCCTCTCAGAAATTATGCATAAATCTCTCCTATGTGCAGTTCTCCAACTCAGCAGAAGGGGGCAGTGTTGGTCATCAAACGCTATTACAATATCAGTAATGACACTAAAAGCCTCATTGTGGTGCACCTGGTGTGTGCATCATGGTGTGCATACATAAATACATACATACATACATTTACAGCAGTTGCCAGAGTCAAAGGAACATTGCTTGTTTTTGTACTAAATTCAGGTAATTATCCAATTACAGACCCTGCACAACAACACAGGTGTTTTCACTTATAATGGCTCATTAGTGGGAATTGCTGAGGTCTCTAAAGTCCATGACACTCATACCTGTTAGCTAAGGCCTTATTATAATTTGTGTTGTATACTTACAGTAGGCTATTCCTTAATGGTGTCGAGGTGACATGTATTTCTGTAAAATGCCAATACATCTGGTCCACAGTTAGTTAACTGGTCCATCTGCCAAGCCAAAAGACAACAGTGTTACAGGTCAATAAAAACAAATAATAATAAAGAGAATTTACTTGTAGTGCTTTGTTAAATCAGTCTATACTTTTATTATTATACAGAAATATTTAGAAGTGTATGTTCCACCCATACAGTGGTCCATTCCATAGCATCAATATTTAAATATTTTAGACAGTATGTCTTCTTCTAATATCCTCTCTATTTTATTGCTAAATCAAGGAAGCTGCGTAAATGTTTGTATACAGGGATGCACAATTTTCTGTTTTGTGATGCAAAAAATATAATTCTCATGAGTCATAATGCAATCGCAACATCTGTCAAAGTAATTGCAATATGATTTTTTTTGGCCATATCTTGCAGCCCCATGTGTATACTGTAATGTGTTATTATTTTATCACAGGCTGTTATTGTTGGAGCTCAACAAAAGCTCAACAGATGCACAAAATGGTAAAGGAAACAGAGGCATGTGGTATCGCTGCAATAAAAATGAGCAGAGAGGAACCAACCTTCATTACCATTTCCTTCTTGGGGGGAATACAAGTGTCATGACATGCACAGTCTTTAATGAGCTCTGTCAGGAAGGCAGCTGATGCTGTGATAACATTCAACACTATCAAATTTAGTTGCCACAAAAACAGCGGTTTCATAGTATGGTGGAGGTGGTTATCTTGACAAGCAGAGTACAGAGTTGTGTTTTATAGCACATTAAAAAAGGGTTACTAGAGAGGGAAACATACTGAAGGAATCTCAAAACATCCAACATTACCTTGATTGAATTCAAGATAGATCTTTACTGGCTTGGTAAAAAGTCCAGAAGGACAGCCAAGACTGGAGCCAACTGATTTGGGTGGCCTCAGCCTGCCCAGTAAGATTTTGGCGTGTTATGAGGGTGCATTTGGCTGCATCTCCAGTCAGATTTCTGGAACATTTGTCCCAGTGTTTGGATGTATTTTATGCAACTTTAACAACAATTTCATACCAACACCAGCATATTTCTCACTTTAAACACCACCCGATATCCCAATATAAAATGATAGATTTCCTCGCCATCAACCCAACCAGTGTACATACGGGAGAGACAACAAATACATATATTACTGTGACTGTGTGCAAGTCTCACTGCAGTTGGTGACTGGCACCAAGAAAACAAACTACATGTTGCTGCAAATGCAAAATCCATATCTGCTTCTAAACTTGCAGTTACAAGAACAGATATGTCTCTAAACGCACTATAGGGCTGCAATTAGGGATTTTTTTCCAAGGATCTCTTTCTAAGGATCTACTGATTATTTTCTCTATTCATCAAAAGTAATAGTTAAGCCAGTTTTCCAGTCCAAGGTTACAATGTTAAATGCAATTTTTCCTTGACCAACAGCCCCAAATCCAAATACATTCAATTCACAATGATATAAAAACAGGAAAAAGTAGCAAATCCTTCAACTGAAGATGCAAATACCAGAGAATATTTTGAGTTTTTGATTATTAAAATAGTTGCATATTCATTTTTTGCATCAGTTTAAAGGTGTAGTCTTTTCCAGGAGCCCCTTGAGGTGTATTGTATGCTCATGTTATTGATTTGTACCTCAAGAACTACATATCAATGCATACAGAGATCTATATTTGTGGCAATAACTCAAAGCATGTAAAGCTTAAAACTTACCACACACTTTCCCATACATCTATTGTAAAACTCAAACTATTAACGTCAGGCTTCCAGTTCAACACATTTACCACTGGGACCCGCTGTATGAGAAACAAAAGGTCGGCTGTCACAGATAATATGACGCCCCCATTCAGCGGGGCGGTGGGACATTCCAACCCGCTGAACTGACGCTTTCCTCGGCCTATGGGAGCGAATCTCCCGGCTGTCTGCTCCCTGAGGGGGGAGGAGCCAACAGTGCGACAACATGACATTTCCGCATGTCAATAAAAAATACTGAAGCCAAGAAGAAGAAGAAGTAGGTAGTTAATGTGGATGTGTGGACTCTACTGTGCTCTACTGGTTTCTTTTTTTTGCTTCCCCAAGTGCTCAAAGTTAACAAGCAGACTTTCGGTCACATGATGCCCGAACATACACCAGTTGCCAGGTGCTGCCTTTTCTCAAGGAAACACTCCGGAGTAATTTAAAAAACACGGATTTTGAGCTCTAAAGGAGACTGAAGACTGAAGTGTTCACATGCTGAAATTAAAGTCAAAGTTTGACCTGCACAGGGATGTGGTGGCTGATATCCTCAGGAAGGAGGCGTCGGTCTGCAGGGTGAAAGGTGAGGCGTTCAGGTGTCAGCGGTCACTGTTTCTTTCTGTTAACATAACTTATTTATTTAGGCTAGCTTTGACTTATAGTTAGCTGGCTTAAAAGTGCCATGTTTAAAGGTCAAATGTTACCTTTCACTGTTATTACAGAATCTAGAGCACATTTAACTGTACTGTACGATTGTGTAATTGGTACTAAATTGCATAATATGTCTTAGAAACTCGATTTAGCGGATAAAATTTGGCAAGAAGTGTCCTATAGCTTTAGCTTCTAAAAGTGGAAAAAATCTGAAACCCAAAGTAATTAAAGATTAATAGGTGTTGACCAGTAGATGGCGCTCTTTACTCTTCACATATCCTCTCTAAATACCATATAGAGAGAGCAATGGAGGACATATTTAATCTAAAGCAGACAACACGCATTAAAACGTCTTTAAAGGTAGAGAACATTTTCAAATTAAAAGATAAACTACACTAAAATACGATATAAAATACAATATATTGAATGATTTCCTTAAAATGTCTGTAGTAGGATCCAAATATCACAGCAAGACTTTGGATTTTCATGCAGTTAAGCAACCAAAAGTCTATTGTAACATTATAAGAAATAAATCTCTGTATATGACACTTAATGTAATGTAAACATACTAGTACACAGACAGGTGATAAAAATGTGTTATGCAGGTAATACATCTCATTAAGTCTCGTCACATTAAAACAGCATATTTACAGATTCCTGCCAAATAATCCACCTGCACATCTGGACACTTTACACATGTAATACCAACTTAATACACAGTGGAAACGCACTACATTCTCATTTAGCATGAACACTTTTAGACATTATAAGATGCACAGGTTCATAATGATGATGCTGTGTCTGCAGAATACTCTGGAGCAGTGGACACTCGTATCCTGAACATTGAGAGCGACGGGGGCATCCTTTACTCCTGGAAGGTATGTCCATTGTGACGGCACTGCATGAGGTGTTTCCTTCAGTTAATTGGGGTAAAACATGCTTTGGTCTCATCACAAGAATAATACTTTAAGCACATAATAATCAGCATGTTTTGTCATTTCTTCTTTCTTACTTCTGTAATAGACCCAGTGCTCCCTCTTTTTGTCTTCACAGCTTGTACTATATGTTAGATATAACATTATATGCACACTGTGTGCTAGTTATTCTGTATCTGCTTGTCCCAGTGCTTCATTGAAGTTATAGTGGGTGAAATATTCAAATCCCAGATGCCATTTTTTTTTATGTCTCCCCCATTCATCATCAAGTGGACACTATCAAATGAAAAATTCCATATTCTCTTATTCAGATTTCTCTATAATTCTGCTTGACATATTTGGTATTTTTGGAAACCTCAGGATCCTTACTAGAATTTGAAATAAAGTTCTGGGTGTTGAAGTGTGCCTCTCTGCACAGCATAAATTTTTAATGATAGACCCGCCAAAGAGTCTGTGGGTTTAGGAGGTTAAAGACAGTGTGCAGCCTGCAAAGAGGAAATAATCTTTTTTTTTCAGTGCAAGGTTCACAGTTTTACACATGCCTGGCTGTGCCTTGGGTTTCAAAGTAGACTTCCTTTATTTGAAATCTTCTGAACCAAAAAAAGTAAGCGGTGAATGGCTGGGTTTGAAGTCAAGCAGGTCTAGTCAGGATAATCAGCAAGGTCAGCCAAGGTAATGAAGAGGTCAAGCATGACGTTCCACACATTGAAGACACCAGTGGGAAAGTAGGTCTGCTCTGGACCGATTAGGATTATCCATCTTTGTAGTTTGATTGATCTAATGATACATGACCTAACTCGAAGAATCTATTCTTATTCTGACAGGGAGCAACAGGGACCACCAGAATTGGGAAATATGACTCCAACACCAAACAGAACAAGGTATTGTGAATGTGTGTCGCATCTCCTTCTCCTTAGTTATGCAGATTTTGGCTTCTGTGTGTGTGTGTGTGTGTGTGTGTGTGTGTGTGTGTGTGTGTGTGTGTGTGCACCTGTTCCCATGTGGCTGTGTGTTTTCTCTCCAACAGCTCCTGTACACATTCGACAAGCAGGTGTGTGTCAGCAGCTGTTCCCTGAACAAGGAGGAGACGCTGTTAGGTGAGCCCCTGTAATGTATAGGTAAAGGACTGCTAGCCATAGACACTGTTAGCAATACTGACCCCAAATCAGACAATTAAGTGAGACGTTGCTTAGCTTGATCTGTACCACCGATTTCATCCCTATTTTGCAGCTAGAGACCCATAAGAACAAGGCTACAGATGCAGTTTTGGTGCAGATTATTGACCGAAACCCAGATTTAGTGCAGTCTCTGTGGAAGATATATGTAAATTAAGTCACATGACCCCCTTGCCTGTGCTTTTTTCCCTTCTTCTCAGCTGTCAGCTTGGCACAAAACACCAGAGGAGAGGAGCGCCTCAAACCAAGTAACACCCAAAAATCTCATCCTCTCTATTTCATTTACAGAGCGTGACATCAATTTTAGCTTCCTGAAGTATTCAACATATTTCTTTTAATGTTTCTAGTCAAAATCCTTCAGGTCATTTCTTCTCTCATTCTGTCTTTGCAGTATCCAAGTGTCTAACTCTCCTGATTGAGATCCAGCCCATCAATAACACCAAAGTCCTCAAGGCAGTGGACTGCAGGGTCAAAGTGCAGGTAGAGTTTAAGTGTGGTGTCTTGGCCACTTTCATGCAGGTTTTACTGCAGCCACAAGCTGACGTTGCAGTTATGGAGCATCAGCGCTTACAGTGTACAAGTGCCATAGACTATTTATTTTACAATCTTGCTGAAAGTGCACTGGCCTGTAGTTGCTGTAGTCATTTTTTTTTATCCGTCTCTCTTTCTCAGTTATGTCTTTTTATCAACAGAGGGATATTATAAATGTATATGTTATTAAGCCACTGTCGCTATGACCTTTGTACTGCTTACTGTTGTTCGCCATATTGCCAAACCACAAATTTAAACATATGCGAAGAATGTTTGAGGATTGCGTTTAAATATAAAAATCAGCGAGTTGATTTTCCCATCTGGTAACAGTCATTCACATGCTGACTCGTGTTTGCTGTGCGTCCCTAGTTCCTTCATTCAGAAACTGACAGGAGATCAGTGCTGGAGAGCCACCTCCTACTGCTGACTGAGGATGGATGTGAGTCTTTGTGCCCTGCCCTTACACTTGTCTGCCTCTGTCGGCTATATTTCTTTAATCTGTAACAAAACACATCAGCAAACTTAGAGAGAAATCATCTGGCTTTTTACAAACAGCATTCTCTGGAGAAACATTACATTATATATATATACAATAGTTGTAGTTCTGCATAGTTATCCTTCTGTGTTCCAGATGTGGATCTCTACCATGTTCTGCTGACGAGACAGGAGGGTTATAGAGTGGTGAGTTGAGCTCTATATCCAGCACATTGCTCACATCAGCCAGCTCTTTTTCTTTTTGAGGGAAGTGTCTGTGGATAGTCTCTTCAGCTTAACTACAAATTGCATGGAGGTTTTATCTGGCTGGTTGGTTCTTTGCAGTTTTTTAAAGGTATAAATTATTTGCACATATCTAGTAATTAAGCAAAAAAGGTTGGAATGTATTTACATAACCCAGCGCAAAGAATATATTGTTTCGCCCTCATTCTCAGGCCATAAAATGTACGGTGTCTCCTGTCCTCCTGGGGAGCTTTGCATTAAGGATTCAGCGTGTCTACAATATGAATATGAATGTGTTTGTGTTTGCGATCCAGGTGATGGCGAATCCTGAGCGTTTGTCCAAAACAGCTGAGAGAATAGTGGAGGACTTCTGCTGGGTCCAGTGGGACGGACACACACAAAGACTCTACTATCTCACTCATAATGCAACACACACACAGGCATGTACAACTGTACTTGTGAGGACCCTGAGTTGAATTGCATGTGTCCATAAAAAGACAAAACATCATATTAATTGCACTGAATAACAAAAAATATCTCTTACAGGAAAAGTTCCTGATGCGATGTGTCCAGTTTTACCTCAACCATAACTGTGAAATTGTGGTGAGTTTTCTTTAGGTCTTATATTGTAACACAGTACCAGTCTTTTGCACATGCTGTCATAGCCACAATGTGACTTGATAATAACATATCATTTTCTTGCTTTATATTACTGTCCCACAGTTGGAACTCCCATTAGAGTTGCCTGCTAATCCTTTCCACGCAGTCAAGTAAGACAACAACCACTAGTACAGAATAAATATAGACTTGTGTTTTCTCAGCAGATACTTCCTCCTATATTCTGCATTCCTTTTGGTTATTATTGATATTTACCTGCAAACAAAGACACTTTTCTCCTTCACACTTGCTGTGCAGTGCAAGTTATCCGTTTGTTGTACACCTGCATCATTTCTCAGGTTTATAAGTCCCCAAATATTCTGATTATACTGTGTTTATATGTTTCTCTAAAACCCGCTAACTGAAATTCTCGTGTCTACGTGTGTGTCCAACAGGTTTGTAAATCTGGGTTTTGACCATTATCACATAGAGAGACCAGAGCAGGAGCTTGTTAGGATGGAAGTGTTCACCAACGGAATAGGTAACACTTCCACACACACATAAATCCTTGTATGAATGATGTGCTCTCACACATACATTTTCTCACACTCAGCACAATAAACTGACTTTCCAGTTGTTTGACTAATTCTGTACATTTTTGTTTTGCATTTCTCTTTGTGAAAACAAGAAAGTAAGTCCCAGTCACAACTCAGAAGCTATGGTATATAATATGCAGTACATGATGATGCAATTTTACCATAAATACAATAAAACATAAAAAGAGTAAATTGTGTTTTTTGAGATCAGAAATGACTGAATCTCAGTGACAATAAGATGATTTATGCAGAAGTAAAATTAGAACTGATGAAGTTGTTAGATTAGAAATCCAACCTCTAACAAGATAAGAGTCATTTTCAGAATTCCTATTTGATTAATTCACTGAAATGATTGAATCTTTGATTTCTGAATCAAATACAAAATCTCAATCATTCACCCCTATTCCTGCCCTCTGAGTGATTGATACAACCTGAAAATTGTTTATTAATGTTAGGTAATATGTGAATGTATTTTCTATCAGAACATATCACTACTAATTTAATTTCTCATTGATTATCATGAACATTGTCATAGATAACTGCGTTGTGCTGTGGTTTATTTTTAGGAAGCATGTGTGTGTGCTACAGCCAACCACTTAAAGACAAACAAGAACTGATCTACACCGTTGTGTTACTTCACAAAGGTGTGTATGCCATCTACTGTTGTGTATTCAAAACATGTACATTTCTATTGCTGTCTCTTTTTCCATGTTACTGTTTTTATCTCGAGCACATGGTGACAAATATAGATTTCCTCTCTTTCTGCAGACTGCAGCAAGACGTTCAGAGTATCTCTGGGCGGCGACCAGCCCCCACAGAAAGCCACACAGCTCCATCCGCTCTTCATCCCCATAGGTCAGTGCACACATCAAAAATCTTATAAATTCAAGTAAGTGAGTTTGAGTGTCAAACATGAGTCTCCTACTTTTGCATTCAAAACAGAAACAGATGCACTCTCCTCATGCAGGCTAATAAATATCTGGTGTGCATACAGCATGCTAACATATACCCTGACTGATGCTGTGTTATTACTCTGTGTAGGTTACTACATCCTGGTGTATCTGCAGGGTTATTTCTTCCATTGTATCAACACCAGGCAGCAGGAGTTGCTCTGTCACTCCCTCTTTCTCTCAGGTAAGATTATTTTTTTTGCACAAACCCTGTCCAATCTGAGCGATGGCTTTGAAGCCAGTTTCTCAGCTACGCTACACGCTCCTATTTTTCCAATATGTTTTTTTTTTTTTTTAAATGTGAAACCTGTGCAAATGTAGAGACACCGGTGCTCGCATTCATTCATTAATTATTCTGTCTGAACCACCCTTAAGGTCTTGACATGGACTCGGGCCTGCAGTGTCAGTCGGCTAACGTGACAGTGTTGCATGCAGAGGAAGAGTCTAGCGGCAGTCTGTTGGACCTGGCCAGTGGGAGGATCCACACTGCTGAACTTAGCCCTGCCTACTTGCTGCAGATACTGCGATCAGACACTCCTAGGTGAACATGATTAATAGCTTTTTGTGGAAATGAAGGATTTATGAATATTGGGGTGATATTTATATGCATAGAGGAGGCACTTGAGAGCCGAGGAGAATATAGTTAGGCAGGAAGTTATTTTGGTGTGCATACACCTGCAGAGTCTTCCTGGAATAAACAACAACTTTAACTTGGATCCTGGCCAGCGAACACCTTGGATTCAACCCCCCTGCTCGATAAAGATGCACCGGTAGCCACTTGCTCTATTCTTTTCTTGGACAGTTTTTTGTCCTATTCATTCATTTATTCATTCGTTTTTTTATTCATTTTTTAACTTGAATCCACTTTTTTTTAATACAGCACATGCATCACAGTATAGTACCTGACTGCTGGCTGTCTGCCGGTGCATCTGCCTCTGTACCTCTCTGTTTGTATAGTCTTCTTTTGTTTAAAAGCAAATTTGTTGTATTTCACCTCCATCCAAGGTGTCCCAGCAGTAAGACTGACCCTCAGCGCCTGGCTGCCCTCCACTGCCTGCTGGTTTACATGGGAAATGACCCAAACCTGGAGCTGAAGGTAAAAAATGAAGGCAGGA